CTGTGGTGCGGCATTCTTACTTTTCGGTTATGATCAAGGCGTGATCAGCGGGCTGCTGACCGGAGAAACGTTCGAGAGACAGTTTCCCAAGATGTCGGTCGACCCGCAGCTTCAAGGTCTCGTCGTGGCGATTTACGAGATCGGATGCTTCCTCGGTGCGCTCCTCACGTTTGTCATGGGCGAACGATTCGGCCGTCGCCGCATGATCATGTTCGGCATGGTCGTGCTGTCCGTCGGTGCTGCGATTCAGACGGCCTCGTACGGCGTGCCGGAGCTGATCGTCGGTCGTATCATCGCCGGTGTCGGAAACGGATTCTCCACCGCCACCGTCCCTGTCTACCACTCGGAAACGTCCAAGGCTCAGGATCGTGGCCGTGCTGTCTGCATCGAGCTGGCGATCAACATCGCCGGTGTATGCACTGCCTACTGGCTCGACTACGGCATGTCTTTTGTCAAGACGAGCACCGTCCAGTGGCGTTTTCCTCTCTCGTTCCAAATCTTCTTTGCGATCGTCACCTTTGTGATGATGTCCTTCCTTCCCGAGTCGCCGCGTTGGCTCGTGGCTCAGGGTCGCGAGGCCGAAGCTATGGACGTGCTTCAAAGACTCGACATCTCGACTCTGCCCAACACCAAGAGCCTCAACATGCTCAACGCCGAGCAGGAATTCCAGGTGATCAAGGAGACCATCGAAGAGGAGCGCAAGCTCGCCAACGGCAAGCCCGTCTGGAGGGACATTCTCACGAACGGCAAGGAGCGACATTTCCAGCGCGCCGTCCTCGGCTTTGGAATCCAGTTTATGCAGCAGGTAAGTGGAAAAAAAAGAAAAGAAAAGAAACCCCAGCACCGCGCGCGGGGGTTTTTTTTCTTTTTTTTTCTTTTTCTTTTTTCTCCTGGTCGCGCCAAACACTGACACCATCTCAATCCTTTCACCTTTCCGCCTTCTTCTCTTCGCAACGATTCATGGGCCCAAAAGCTGTCGGGAATCAACCTCATCACCTACTACGCCCCGGTTATCTTCCAGAAAAGTGTGGGACTGTCTAGATCCACTTCTTTGCTGCTTGCCGGCTTCAACGGACTGGCGTACTTCGTCTCGTCGCTTGTTCCCATCCCGCTGATCGAGCGAGTCGGTCGTCGCCCTCTTATGCTCATCGGTGTCGGCGGACAGGCTATCTGTATGGCTATCCTCGCTGCCATGACGGTGACGATTGGGGACAAGACCAAGGGCATTGTCGCAACTGCGATGCTCTTCCTATTCAACTTCTTCTTCTCCGTCGGTTCGCTCGCTATCCCGTGGCTCTACCCGGCAGAGATCAACAGCACGCGTACCCGAATGCATGGTGCAGCCATTGCAACAGGAAGTAACTGGTGCGTACAAATCCACACCTGATCCTTTCGATCCGCACTTCACTGACACCCTTTTTTGGCTTAGGATCTTCACCTTCTTGGTGGTCCAGATCACTCCCATTTGCGTCCAGAACCTCGGCTACAAGACGTACGTGATGTTCGCCATCTTCAACTTCAGTTTCATCTTCCTCACGTACCTGTACTACCCGGAGACCAAGGGGCTTCAACTCGAAGCAGTCAACGAGCTGTTCGAAGACACGCAGCGATGGGCGATTGGACCAGTCAACACCAAAAAGTACATCGACGCCGTCAAGACGCACGTGGACGACTCGCCCGGCTACCTCGGCACGCCCCAGGACGAAAAGTCGGACATCATGGAAAAAACCTCGAGCGCTTGATCCAAACTCTCTCTAGCTGTAACTTCCCTCCTCTTCCTTTCTGTTGTCAAGGTCAGATTCAATGTGATACCGTTCCTACTTTGCTCGATTCTGAAAAGTGCGCAGGGCGAGCATGACAGCATTTATTTAATCATTTTTTCCAACAAACGGATTTTTTTCCGAAAATCAATGGCGGCTTTGACGGGGGCACTGGCTCTCTCCACGGGCATGCACACACGTTGCTGGAGCTCGGTGCAGCAAGGACGTCGGGATGATGACTCTTTGCCTTGCCATGCAAGACTTTGTACGGCAGCGCGGGTGGTGCAAGAAAGTCACGCCGAGGAGGGGCGGAAAAGCGGAGATTTAAAATGTAATAATCGAGCATTTTCGGCAAAATCGCGCGGGCCAAAATCGCCGCGAAAATTGACAGCCGAAAACTGACAGGCGTGTGGGGGTCTGTGCGACCTGACACAAATCAAATCCCGCCCCGCGCTCCCCCGCCGAACTAGTGCGGAAAGTGCGGAATCGAGTGTCGACCCGCACCCCATCGAGCGAGCCCCACAGCGGCCCAAATAATGAAGCCAGTGCGGAGCGTTGCCGCAACACAGCACCGCTCGGCTCGGCTCGGCTCGGCTCGGCTCGGCTCATGCAGAGGCAGAGGCAGCAGCAGCAGCACGACCCCGCTCACTTCCACTCTTCTTGGCCGAGACTTGAACCCCTCGGGTTGGTGTCTTTGCTTCCGCACATCATCTTGGCTCGCACCTCTCCCTGTCCTTCGATCGCCCACTCGTGCGCTATGGTCGTGCACGCTCTTTCCACGCCCAGGGCATGACCCGCGCATGACTCGCGCAATCCACGCTGCTGGCATGTCGGACTCGGCGCCTTCGTCGTCGTCGGACGAGGCGGACATCCACACGCTCGCCAACATCGCAACCGCTCGATGGCAGCACCACCATGCCCATCGCCGTTCGCCAGCGTCCCAACCGCGCACAGTCGTACAACGCAACACTGACGACCAGGGCGCGCCGGATGTCGATGCATCGTCCAGCTCCGCGGCGGCGGCGGCGGCGGCGGCGGCTCGATCGTCTGCACCCAGTCGACACGACCGTCGCGCATCCAAGGCGTGCCAGGCATGCCGCGCGCGCAAAACTCGATGCGATGCACAGCAACCAAAGTGCTCTTACTGCCGCAAGCACGACATCGACTGCCACTACGTCGCAGGCGACCTCCGCAAGCAACGTCCCTCCAAGCGCAGGCGCTCCTCGCCCCAGCCTGACCACGCTCGTGACGACTCGGTCCCACCACCACCATCACCGCCAGCACATCGCCCCTCCCCTCAAGAACGAGTAGAACACGTAGATCATACAGAGCAACAGTCGCGAGCCGCTGTCCGCAACGACTGGTCGCATCACTCGCATGCGCACCTCCCGCATGCATCGTCGGCAGCTTCTTACGCACCGTCCATGGGCGCTCCTTATGCGGCCTCTTCCCATCCAGCCTCGTCGACTCGCGACGCCCACTCGGTCGCTTCCTCGCACTCGAGCACATGGCCTGCCATCCC